TTTACTAGTCAGGGCACATCAATGTTTAGGATTTGGACTCTTGAGAATAGCCACAAAACAATTTAAGTTTCTCATCTGCTGCTTTCCACCATCTTCCTTATTAAAGTTCCTTTGTTACTTTTCTATGGCTGATTAATATGTCAGGTGATTAATGGCTTTCATCTGACACATTGATGGCATTAACCCTCCTTCCCCTCCTGTTGTCACATTCCACTGCTTTCCACAAAGGCAGTACAGGAGGTGTTGTCTCACTAGAAGCTCTATCTGTATTTCTGCTGGTTTCCAATTACCTGGCTTTTGGATACGTGTCTGTGGTGCTGAGTTGGAGTGGCAAAAGTTGTTTAGGGAAAGATGATGAGAGTTCATCTAAAACATTCTGGGAATAACATGGGCAGCTTGATGAGAATTTATTTATAGTCTTGTTTATCAACAGTTGCCAGTTTAGTATGACTACAATTGTATCAGGTGGTCCTGGAGTGCTTTTTCTCGATAAGCACCAGTTCACTACATTTTTTTAGGGGATGCCCAGCTTTAAACAGATGAGAATTTGCATTAGATTTAAGCACAAAAAATTCAAGCATCTGCCTTAATTTGAACAACTATGACAACACTACAGGTGTGCCTGCAGTGTGTAAGCCTCAATGTGCTAGCTTTAACCTACTAAATATGAGACCTTTTACCTTAATTTGGCAGAAAGCTGTGCAGGAAGATGTAGTTTCCCTCATGCCAGTGTCTTTGAGTGCTGCTTGATCTGGCTGAAAACTGATTCTCCTTTTTCTCTTCCCCACTGTCCCCTCCCTCCCTCCCTCCCTCCCTGTCTTGTAAGTGGATTAATTTTAAGCCCAAGCAGCTCCCTGGCTCAGCTCTCAGCACAAGCAGATGAACGGTGTGCAGCTAAGCACTTGGAGATGAGAGGTCAGACCACCTCCCCTTTCAGCAGTGAGATGGACTGATGCAGGAATAAGGCAACCCCGGGACTGTGGCCCACCTAATGTGTGTAGTTAATGATAAAGATGTAGTAGTAGTATTTGCACATAAGAATCTACAGAGAACTGCCTCTTCGGTTTGAATGTTCCTGCCCCAGCCTGTGCCATCAAAGCTTTACCTGTGTTGATACTTGTGCTGCCCTCTTTCACACGCCAGACAGTGCTGCAGCAGTGGTCTTGCTGCACTGAAATCACATCTGTCTGAGGATTGTTTATTTGCCATGCTAAAGCATGGGATTTTGGTTAAGGTGAGAACAATTGTATTAAGATTGGGAACTAATGATATAGCTGTGTAACATGGTTACTGTGAGTAGTGAGTGGCAAGAAACTTGTAGCAAGTACTGTGCTGATCAAAAAGATTTTTTCAATTATGGGCAATTTTTATTGCATGAGAGTTACTTAAAACTTAAGTAGAGTTGACATCATGTTCTTTTGACCTAATTCTCCAGCTTTTGTATTATTACTAAAATGATCTGGGATATTATAATACAGTACACTGCAGAATGGCACTCTTAGGAAAGATTGATACAGTACTGGTGTTTGAATAGGAAATGGAGCATGGCAAATTCAGAGATAATGCTGTGATCTTCAAATGTGAAGGGTTGTATGCATAGCTCCTGCGTGGAAAGCAACAGCTGTAGTTTGAAACTAACCCTGCTGAAAAGTGACCCTCTGGAAAAAACGTGATACTGTTTGTTGTTGCATGAGTATGAGGTTTTCTTTATGTTTTCTTTAAGTAGTAGTGCTAGTTTGCATATCACTAGATGCCCAGTTTGCGTTAACACAAGTTGACTTTATTCTAACTGGCAGGAAAAAGTCATCGAGCCCTTGTGGAATATTCCAAACTTTAACTGCCAAATTCAATTTACTACATTCTTCCTTCTAGACAGCTTGCTCCCATGACAACCCCATGTCAGATAATGCATGTACAGACCCTGAGTTTCCCATAACTTTGTCCTTGGAATGACACCAGTGGCATTTTTCTCATGATCTTTGAAAACACAGGAGAAAAATAGTTCCTTTTTTTTTTTTGTGTGTGTGTGTGTGAATTGTTACTTGGAAAGCATGCTGCCCTAATGTAAGTTTCACTTACCTAGAAATATTAAGAGCAATCAAAAACACATTATTTTGTTTTGAATGTTATGAAATACTGTGGTTTTTAAGAGTGCGGCTTCTGTTTAGGTGCACAGTAAGTCAGTCCTCACTGCAGAGTCAACCTGTTGATTTTTTTTTTTTAATCTCAAGTACCATCCAGATGCACCAATATGATTGTAATTGTGCTTACAGCCCACCTTGGGGGTACAGGCATTATCCAAGTGTTGAGTATATTTTTATGAATATTCCACCTACTTACAATGAGGACAAAGGCATTGGAAAGAAATGTAGAGCATTTTATCGTACTGTATCTGGGGATGTGATTCCAGAAGTCCCTCCCCATGTCTTGCATTGAAAAATGAAGCTCCAGGGTAGATGTGTGTCTCCTAGACTGCTAGTTAATATCCAAGCTAACCTCACCTGCAGTGCTCAGGTCCAGACTTTAGAAAGCAAAGGTGTATCTCCAGTACAGAATCAGCTTGTGTTTATTCCAGGATCAGTTCCCCCACATACTCCAGCCTCCCCCCAAAATGTCTAACCTAGGCAGGCTATCAAGGTTTCATTTCAGACTGAGTTGACAGTCCATGGGCCATGCTCTTAAAAGGCATGCCAGCCATTAATATTTATTTCACTGCCATGCCCTCATTATCCCTGAGTAATACTCTGTTGTCTATTTCTCTTTTTTACATGCTTCAAAACACCTATAATGGCACTTTAATCCTGCATTTGACTGCTCTGTTTTGCTTTGCTACAGTATTTGAACAGCACTGCCATAAAGAGTATGCCTGCGCACAAGGCTGCTGAAAGCAGACGTCATCCTTCTAGTACAGTTGTGCTGGCTGATCTGTAAAACCTGTAATTTGGGGAAAACGTATCTAAAGAAACTGGTTAAAGTTTACTGGACAGAAAAGAGGAGAAAACGTCAAGCAGACATGAAGAAATTAATTTGGTCTGCTGAAAGGTTTTGCTGCCAAATATTTTGGTATGATCTATGTTAGCAATAAGTAACTCCATTTGGAAATTATTTTACACACAGAATTGTTGTCGTATTACTATTACAAACAGCAGCTCTGTGCTGGGGCATGCAAATCCAGCATGTATTCGTGGATCAGCCAAGTAAAAACATGGTATTTCCCACAGGAAATCTATCCCAGCATGCAGACTAGTAAAGCACTGTTGAGGATGCAGCTGCATATGTAGGGCTTTGTACAGCCGACCCTCCCTCTGTGCTGGAACAGCTCAAGCTGTAGTTTTTTAGTAAAGATACATCCTTAATGCTTAGGCATCAAGTAATTTCTTCTGAAATGTTAGATTTCTCCCAGTTAGAGCTGTCTTGATCTACTACTGTCTTTACACGCTTAAATGTTTGCTGGATTTTTTTGTGATACTTTGGCTTGTTTAACTTCTTTAACACCTCATGGGTGCTTCTGCCTGGTTATTTTCCATTAAAGCCTCTGTCTGCAGAACACAGAGGGAACTTGACAGCTGTGTTTCATTCTCTTTCAAATCTTAGTGTTTCACCAAGCACGGGTTTAGGGAATCTGAAAATTTTATTGCTTTGTTTTTTTGCTACCAGGTTGCATTATAAATGCAAAGCTGGCTTATTCAGAGTGCAGGTGCTACCTTGTTGTCTGGTTGGGGTTTTTTTGTATGTGATTGTTTTGGGGTTTTTCCTTTTCTAATTACTTAAAACAAATTGTATTGAGGATAAGGTTTCGGGATTGTAATACTTTTACAGCTGTATTAAATGTCATCTTAGGAGAAATATTTGCATGATAAATTTATAGAAAAGGAAACAAACAAATTATTTTAAGCCAACTGTGCTGCAGGAGGAGGATGGTGCAGTGTTGCCTGCTAGTATTTTTATCATCATCATCATTCACCCTTTCTAAATTTTAGGGCTGTTAATTCTGCAATGAAAGGTTCAGTGCTTTTTTGACCAATTTGCTTTTACTCCTGAGGATAGATGAAGATATTTTATTCAGGAATCAAATTAATTACTTTTTATGCAGAAGACAGTTGATCAAAGTGTGGTTATATTTCCTTTAATTTTACTACTTTACCATCCGAGCAAGCACTGCAGTTGTGTGCTACTTGTCTGATTTATCAGTGTCTTGTAGAAAATTAGTAACTAGCCTTTCCTCTAACCTGAGGGATTTTGGCAGTTTCAACTAGATTGTGAGCCTGTGAGAAATTGATTTGCCTGCACTTGGTGTTGCAGAACTTGACAGTGGTTCATTTCTGGCTTTGCTAGTACAGACATCTTTGCCAGTGCTCTCGGCATCCAAGAATTTTCCTACTTCCACATGGTTATTTCCTGCCTCGGGTGAGATAGGCTGTTTTGTGAAGATTTCTTCTGGATTATAATTTCTAGTAGCCAGGAGAAATAAAAAAAAAAAAAGAACAACAACCACAATTTAGGAGAAAGGGATGCACACTGAATGCTTACTTTGCTGGCTGTGGTACAGCATTTCTGAATACCTGGTGGAATCCTGCTTCTGTGGAGGTACAGCTTAAATATGCAGATGAATCTGTAGTAGACAGGTTTTTTTGTCATTCCTTTTCCCAGTTAACATACTGTACTATACTCCCCTATTTACTGTCTGAAACATAGGTATATATGGCATCTCTGTAAGCCTGCGTTTACTGGGATTCAGTAGTTAGAATGGAGTAACTGTGATAACAGCAGAGAATTTGGCATCATTTGAATGCCATATTGTTGTGTTGGCACCATGTATAAATGATTTCCTCCTTTTTGTTTTGCTATTAATGATCAACTTCAGCTGTTGGGCTGTGAGTGTTGGAGCATGCTGCACATCAGAATGCTCCGAGGCCTCACTGCATCCTCAGCTTTGCGTGACGATTATCTGTATGTGCCGTAGATGGAAATTGAACATCCAATTACTTTATAAGATTTAGAGCCTGCTTAGCCTCTGCTTGAAAAGTACTTTCTGTGTGATTTCAAGTCTGCTTTTGCTCTCCTCCTCAGGTCCTTTCACAGATGTTGTCACTACAAACCTGAAACTCGGCAATCCTACAGACAGAAATGTGTGCTTCAAAGTTAAGACCACAGCACCACGCAGATACTGTGTAAGGCCTAACAGTGGAATTATCGATGCAGGAACATCAATTAATGTTTCTGGTAAGCCATTCAAGCAGGTTTTTTTGGTGATTGAAAATAGCTTCTTCTAATCAATTTTTTCTTGGAATACTTTGCAATCTGAAAGTATTTTGTTGAATGTTTGTAAAAGTAAGAGGTTTTGATTTCATGGAGAAGCAGCCATTTCATAGATCCTTATTTGCTTTATTCCTGGTCTAACAGTAACAAATTTGGATTTACATCCTATTTTGGAGGGGAAAAAAAGGGAGAAATACATAAATGATTTATATAGTTCATTAGCAGCCTTAGCCTATCCAAGCCAGTAGTGCTGTAGCCCTGCTCTCCCTGTGGGATTATTTTTGTACAGTTAGTTTTTTGCCAGTTTAACTTCCTGAACCAGCTCACTGCAGGGTCAAACAAGTGATTGGGACAGGCACATGGAGGGAAGAATAAAACTGAGCAGACTGCAGCCACACCAGGTGAGACTGGTGTTGGCTGTTGTCGAACTGCCTAATATAACCAATATTGAAAACATTTACTTTCAAACCAAGCTTTTTTTTGTGTTCCTTGAAGATGCAATATGCTTTGGGATTAGAAATATCTAGTGACTAAATCTTTGCTGTTCCATAGGAAAAGTTAATGATTTTCTCTAATGAGTCAGTAGCTCTTGACTTGCCTAAGTTTGGTAATGGAAAAGCAAAGGAGTGGCTCACTTTGAAAGCATAAAGAGCTGACTATGTCCCATAAACAGAATGTCTGTGTATTATTAACTTACTGATGATACATGCTTGAAAGTGATGTATTTTCTCAGTGACTTCTCTGATCCATGTTTTCAATTAAAAATTATATCAAAGGATATAGTAGTGGCATACTGCCTGAATAAAGTCTGGTCTTTTAGTTAAGAATTTTTTTTCTATAAACATGCAGATTTGTTTTACTGCTTTTCATAAATTTTAATATTGGCATGATAAGAAAAATTACTTACTGATAGGTTATACAGTTTGCCATTAGTCTCTTACCAAATTTCTCTAGCCCAGAATAAAAAAATTGGGGAGTTAAAACTACTGATTTTTACTTGGGAAAAAAAAAATCAAAGTGTAAAAATTAAGACTGTTTTTTTACTTAATACAATGCAAAATATTTAAACAGCTCATCCTTGAAGAGCTTGCTTCAACAAAATAAAAATACTTTGCCACTGTAACATTAAGAGACTCTAATCCTATAAGTTGTTTTATGCATGCCTACATTTGCACACTCATTGATCTGTTGTCTTTGAGATTTCTGTTGTGTCAAATCGAGCGTGCGTATGATTGCAGAATTGTGCCTCACTTGCAGTTAATCCCTGGGACGTGTCACAGTGAGGAGAGAACCAGCGTAATGTGGTAGCTACGTTGGGGCAGGCATAGCACTTCTACTGTAGGAAAAGGCTAGCACGTATCCAGTAAGCTTTGAAAAGACTAATATGTAAATGAAAAAGCTCTCTAGAGAGCAATTGAGATTTTTTAAAACTCGGGACAATTCCCAAGTAAAGCTGTCTGTCAACTATACTCGCTGCAGGCAAGCATATTAAATGCATAGAAATCAATGAATTGATAATGAAAATTAGCATGGTTTCTAGCTACAAATTATCTTCATGCTATAAAGATGGGGATTCTTTTCATCTTTCAGATGAACTTTCAAAACTAAAAGCCCACTTCCTTTGCAGGCACATACCAAGTTTTTTTAAATGTCACCTTGATCTCAACACTGAGTGTTTTCTTAAACTTCTTACAATGACCCTTCACTCTACCTTGAGCAGAATGTACTATAGGCAAGTGTAGTATGAACCATCTTGTATTATGCTACCAGCATGCCTACATCTGACTTGCTTTTCCAGCCCAACTCTTCCCAGCGGCATACCAGCTGGAACGTGGATCTAGTCCAAGACTTGACTTAAAGTATCCTATTATGAGAGATTCCTGTGCTAACCCTAAGCTATGCTTTGCTCTTGCTTACATAGCTTTGAAAATTTCCCTTTCCTGATAACTTTAGTGATTTATGATTCAGTTAGTTTCGCAAATGGCTACGATATATTTAATCACAGGCTCACATTTGTGTTCTACATATTTTTATGCTGATTATAACTTAGTAATAATAAATAATGATCCTAAATTGCCAGTTGTTACATTAACACTGTATTTCAAAATGCAAGCAGTACGCATTCATTGTTCTTTAGGTGATGTATTAAGGTATATTTATAGGTATATAGGTAGAAATCTGGGGTTATAAATGTTAATTCTTTATTTTCTAGAACATTCTAAACTGAACATTTTGTGCTGTGGTTGAATTTTTCTTTAATAGAGCTGTACATATTGCACTCCTAGTTGCTCCTTTAAATCATGCATGGGAACTCGTTTTGGACTTGAACATGGCAGTGTCTTTGGTTCTGATTAGCATAAGGGATATTTGGAATAGGGGGATCGAAGAGGGGACTTTCGTTAACTTACAGAACAGAATTGGTTTTGAATTCACAGAAAGCAGGGAGATGTGTTTCACCTTTGCTTTGGAGTAATGTTGCTTAAGAATAGAGGGCTGGCTTTGGAGTAATGTTGCTTAAGAACAGAGGACTGATTTTGGAGTTAATGAAGTGAAAAATAAATATAATTTATTTCTTTGCTTCTGAATAAATTATTTTTCAGTCATGTAATTCAAGTCCTGCACAAGGCATAAAAATAGGACTTGAGTAAATAGGACTTGAATTCATAGAATTATAGAATGGTTTGGGTTGGAAGGGACCTTAAAGGTCATCTAGTTCCAACCCCCAAATTCCTCCAAACCTAGTGAAAATGCTACTGATGAGAAATCATTAGAATATAGTTAATTCAGTAATAACTTCCGGACACTTAAACTAATTGGGCTGTATTTGCTATATGCAATCTGTCCTCTTGAGAATTGCTGACTGGCTTTAACACAGCAGCTTGGTAGCACTGCGTCAATACTGCACCTTGTCTCTCCAAAAAATCAGTGCCTAAGTATAGTGGCATGAAGCTCTGGAACAATTTATTAGTTTCTCGGAATATTATTGACTGAAACTGAGTTTGGGGCAGCCTTATCTTCCTGGCACTGTAGTAACTGGATGCTTCTGTTGCACCCCTGTGAAACTATATCTGTACTATTTTGATGTAAGTATATGAGAAGATATTCTGCCCTAAGATAGAGGCAGCAGTCAGAACATTATTCCACTTTATTTCATACTGGTATGACAGCTCATTTAAAACACAAAACGCTAGAAAAGTAAACCTTGCTTTGTTCTAGTGGAGTCTCAAATACTGGCTTTTTATGCCATACCACAGCTTTTCCTCAATATTGGCATTTAAGGCCCTGTCAGCCTGTGCTGCTTGCTGAGGTGTCAGGTTTGTAGCCTGTGTTTTCACCTGTTATATAATGGCATGTAATTTTAACAGCTGAGTTTATGTAACTGTTGGGAAATGTATGTGTGCCCTGTCATCTGATTTCATTGCATTGGGTCTGAAATACTTTGGAAAGAAGTGTATTTGCACACATTCCATTTTTGTTAAACATGTCTTATTTCAACAACGATATCAGATTTTGTGGCTTTCAAGAGGTGGAAATCTAAATAAAAGGCCTGAATGGATTACAAAGGAAAAGTGAAAAAATACAAGCAGGTGCTGATGAGTCTGCAAATAAGTGTATAGCAGGGGGAGAGGGGAAGTTCAGATGGAACCATCTGTGCACACTGTCCCACTGAAGGGAGCAGTCTGAACATGCTTCCTAAAAATGGGGAGAAGCTGACATCCTTAGGTTGCTGTCGAATGTCCTTGTGGGGGGATTTTTAGTCTTTTGTAAACTTGTCTGACTCTGAAAAGGCAGTTTGCATTGCCTTCAGAAGGGTGCTTCTGCAGCTGCCCTTCCTTTTCAGGCGCAGTAGCCCCTTTCGCCAAGACACGGATCCTGTCCCGACTACTGCTGCAGCCCCAACTCTCCTGAGGCAGTCACTGCTGCACACTGTTCCCCCAGCACTCCCAGGACTGTGTAGCGACTGCCAAGTTTTGGTTTGGTTTTGTCTGTGTGCTTTATGAGAATATCTTCACAGATTCAACATTTTTTAGCATTATTGAAATATTTACAGGAAGAACTATGTAAACATGGAACAAATGTGAAGTGGTGCAGCAGATTCTGTAGATGCAAGTGTCCTTTGCTCACCTCTAGCAGAGCTGATCAAATTGCACAATGATCTTGAGGCTTGCCCTTGTAGCTGGTTGGGGTATTGTATGTAAAGGTGACATAAGTGTGGTAGATTTGAACTATCCAGACCATAAAGAACTTCATGCAGTGCCATTTGGGAAAACTATCAATAAAGCTCAAAAAGAAAAATATATTCACAGACTATTGAATGGTCTACTTAAGAGTAAACAGTGATGTGCTGGGTGGAAATGCAATAGCAGGAAGTTATTAGTGACATTTCTTGGAATGATTCTTAGTACTAGCCTTGTTTAATAAGCAATTCAGGCCAAAGAGTGCACTAAAAACCCTGACAGTGATGGGAAGCTGAAGATATGCAGCAGAACTGGGTGTCCTTGAAGGCTACAGTAAGAGAAACAGAGAATGAGTTTCATCAGAAAAACAGCAAACTCACATACTTGGAGAATAAAATACTCCTGGTATAATTGCAAGCTTGTTAAACAAAGGGAGCTGGCTGGGCTGACCAAGATGCTGACATAATGTGGCTGTGAATAAGGCAAATGGAGTATGTGCAAACAGGCTGGATAACAGAAGAGATAAGAGGGTATAAATGCTATTGTCCAAGGCACTAGTAAAAATTCCTGCATGTATAATTAGAGTAGCTCATATAGCGCAGTTCAAGGGAGAACAGGTGCAGAGAATGAATGGGGAGCCTGGCCCAGAGGTGACCCACTGAGTCTGGCTTACTCAGTTTACCAGAAGGCCAGGAGTTACTGTGATTGATGTATTGGAGTGCACCAGAAGCAAATGACTCTTCCCCTTCTTTGATATTTAAGCATAAGGGCAGTATTGGTCCAGGACCAAGTAAACAGGCCATTAATAAATTTAGGTGGAAACTAGAGGCAGGTTGCTGACTATCTGAGCAGAGAGACTTTTCTGTTCCTTCTGCTCTTGGGAGTGCTAGATCCTGGCAGGCGTTACAGGTAGAGTTTTGCCTCCTTCCATGTTCCTTGCTCCAAATTTCCTCTGTTCCTTGAGAAAGCGGGGTTTACTCGAGGAAAAGCAGAAGAGTTTAATGCTTCTGACACTGTTACTACTTTGCCAGTAAACTGTTTCAGGAAAAGGAAAGAGCATTACGTGGTCACTGCCTTTCCTTTATTGACAGAGGGCCTTGTGTAAAAAAACGGATAGTGTAGCAGTAATGTATGAGAAAACTGGTATCAGTTTCTTTGGAAACACTTCAAAACAGGATGGATGTAAGGTGGTTGTCCTTTGTGTTTGAATTTTGAGACAGACAGGTGGGCTGACAACTATAACCCGTGTTACTCCTCATTCCATTGATCTTTCAATGACTTTGCAGTTTTTGCTTGTGGTAGGATACTTCTGGTCCTTTAGATGTAGGGTGATCAGTTTAGAAAGTGGTTGAAATACATCTCTCTGCCTAATGGATGCTGGTGTTTGTGAACTTGAAGATCATGTTAATCATTTTGTTTCTCTGCATTCTGATGAAAGCCAGTCAGAAACTTTTGACCAGATGAGATTATTATTTTGATAAGGCATTTTGTAGGAATATGCTTTTGCATAAGGTATGGAATTTCCAGTCAGAACAAAGGAGCTACATTGACAGAGAAAATTCTCTAGTAGTTAGGGTAGTTACATGGAACTGATTTTTCACAGAAACCCCCAATAGTATGTGAATAAATGTTGAAATGGCTTGGTTTCCTCTTGAATAAAGTACATATTTTTGAGCTTCCCATCTGGCTTACGAAACATTTGCTGGATAATTTGTGTCAATGTGGCTTTCATGTATTGATCTAAAAATACAAGTGCTAACAACGTTTGTACTGTCAAGCCCTCTCTAGCTGCTTGCTCTTACCAGTCAGTGAATGGAATTCAGATCAGCAATCGTTTGGTGTTTGAGAATGGCTTCAGCACTGTCACTTGGGAAATAATGATTTTTCAAATGAGCTTATAGTTGCACTCAGCAAGGCAAACTGATAAAACTGCAGATCTGGAGAAGTTCCATAAACAGTGGATAGTTTTGACTACCCAGTTGATTCTTACACATCATGTAGATATGAAATAAGTTAGGTGTCTGCTGCAGGGGAGAAAAAAATTACGCAGCTGCTTTTCAATGATGCATCATGCAGTATTGAAATACATGTGCTCTCACGGTGCAATCACTTCTGTTTGGAAAAAGAGTTTTAAAAATAGCGTGTTAATTTGCAAACATTTTTTTTGGACTAGTATTTGATTACTGCAAGGTGAGTTTAAAATGTATAATAGTTTTTAAAGCACCTCCTCAGAGAGAATTTGCCACCTTCTTTCTCTTCTGGCTTTTAAAGGCCTGTGGCTGTTGATAGCCACAGATTGTGTGCATAATAAAGATGGCACAGCTGTAACATATTTGGCTCATTGAGAGAGGCATATTGGTTTGACTTGCCTTCATTTGCAATAAATAAAATCTTTGGATACAGCTTTTATATGACGAACCCCTACAATTAGTGCATATTAATTTGGGCACATAATGTTAATAGCACTCATACTTGAAAGTAATCCCGATTCTTGAACTGCTTTCCTCTTAGTGATTGAATTGAGGACTCAAGTAGTCTCATGGGTCTCAAAAATGTGAATTTTTCAACCTTATACCATTTTTTTTTGTTGGCAGTCATCGCAGTATATACAAGCTTCATTTAAAATTTGAGGGGGTGGTAGCTTTTTGAACTATCTAATAACATGTTTGTGTAAACTACTTTGCTTATTTTCACATACCTTCTGTGTCATATTGAAGCCAAACCTGTGATTGTTAATGTCACAGTAGCTCAATGTCCAGGTGTCACTTGCAAAATGTAGGGGTTCTGAGTGACTACTGTGATTAAAGAATATTCCATGTAAATGAAATACATAACTCTTCTTCTTCAAGTTACTTCAACATGTTAGTTCTTTATCCAAAAAGAAAAGACATGGAAAATCCTAATGTTAAATAACAAAACAAAACAAATTTAAGAAAGCACACGCACCCCCTGAACCTGCTGTTCCTTGCTCCCTACCCCTTGAACACAGTCATTTTCTGCATAAGTAAATTCTGGTATGTTTGTGGTTTTTCTGAATTGAGAGAACTACATTTCTTGCACACCTTTCAGAGGCAAAATTTATATATAGCATTTAACCATAAACTTCCAGCTATAAATTGGTAACAAACTTTCAGCAACTTATTTTTGGAAGAGAAATGCTTGTACTTGATAAAACAAATACTGTGGGATGCTTGAACTTTATAGAGGAAATTTCCATCCTGAGACTTGAACGTCAGGGCTTAAAATGCTCGACTTTGCCTCTGTAGCTTTTCTCAGGAACCATCAGCAATACTGTGTGCAACTAATCAGAATGCCAGCTTGTTACTTCTGCGTCAAGAATTGAAGAAGAAAAAAAAATGCTTTCTTTGAGAATTTTTCCCTCTGTCCCAGAAGATACGTAAATGATCCTATTTACTATAAATTACTATTATTATCTTGCCATAGCCGTGTATGTATGGAATATTGTACAGTGATCAGCATTCCAAAATTCTCAGACAAGAACCTAGACAGACTGAAAGTCTGTTTTTCTTATCTTTTTGAATAATTTTGTTTTAAAGTGAGCTTCCTGATCTCAGCTGCTGCATTGGTCATAACAGACATACAACTTGAAACCATTTTAACGTTTGTATTTCTCAAATGTGGTAACTATATCATCGGTGCATGACTATGCATCAGAGCAGTGTTAACACAAGGTGTTTTGGGTTTTTTCTTGCAGTGATGCTACAGCCTTTTGATTATGACCCTAATGAGAAAAGTAAACACAAGTTTATGGTTCAATCCATGTTTGCTCCAGCTGATACTTCAGATATGGAAGCAGTAGTAAGTATTGCATTAATTAAAATGGATTTTCCTTCTGATTATATAATTGTATAAGACACTTTGTTGCGTAAGGGCTGTTGTCAAACCATGCTGGAACGATCCTTGCAAGCTTTGCCAGATTTCCATGTCTGTGCATGGCAAGGTGTCTTCCCTTTATTTTTAGCCCCAGGAATCTTGCACTGAAAGATACAGTTCTGGTTGCTTCTTTAGGACACTGCTGTCAGTAATGGGATGCCAAGCCATGAAACAAATGTTAAATAGTTATAAATTTTTTCAGTATATATATATATTTTTTTTTAGAAAGGCAAACTTGAACTATATATTCTAAATCTGTAACATCTTTTATATTTTATGCCTCTATCTCAAGTCTTCCCTTCAGCAGTTTGTTTTCCCAGCAAGAACCATGAGGATTTAAAAGTATTGTATTCTTCTTTTTCCCTTCCTGTGTCTGTTGTGGCTTAGGTAAATGAAAGCCCTCACATTTCGTCCTGTGGATTACAAATGAGAGTAACAGAAGCATGTAGGTGCTAAAGCAAAGAAAGACAAAAGATGTAGAAATAAGATGTCAGGCTGCATTAACACAACTTTGAATGGAACAAACCAGTATGTCAACTGGTGGCTTTCCTGTAACAGCAAGATTTGCTGCTGCAAGAAGATACAAGGAAGCTTTCTCTAGTCTAGCTTTTGTTATCTTGAGAGAATACTCAGTAGCTATGGAGGACATAATAAAAAAGAAAAAAAGGCCTTCATTCTGAAGTGTGGGGCCCGTGTGTATTTGTATGTATACATATTACTTAAAAACAAAAAAGCCAACCCAAAAAAAAGCCAGAATACCTATCATGTCTTTTTTTACAGTAGTCTTTACAATATGCATCTTCTGAATAGCATTTTAAAGCTGTGGCACTCTGCAGGGTTAAGAATTTTCCTTCTGAAAGAGATTTATGGAACTATATTTGTTTAATGGCCTCAAAATAAGATCCAGTGGGAGAAGCACCAATAGTAATAAAATGTCTGCATCACTAGAAAGATAAGCCAGTCTGCCTTTCTTTCTAACTCTTTAATTTTTATGAGTTACTTTATACCATGAAAAATGTTATTCTGCTAGCAAAAAAAATTTTTAGGACCTAGATGGGCCTTTCAGTTTTCCAGAGCTTCCAGACCAATATGATTTCTTTTCCTATAACACTTGATCAGTTCTCATTTTTGTTACCACACTCCAAATCTCTTCCTATTCTGGATAAACAGGTGAGACAAATTACTGGAGTACTATAAACCTTTCAACACTTCACAGGCAGCCAACAACCTCGAAATAGAATTCTGACTTCAGCTACAGAAGAACTGAAGTACAATTCAGCTATTTAGGATGAGTCAAATACTTCTTCAGGTTGCACAGGGGTTAGCCATAATTTGACACCTACTTGAGATCTGCTGAGCAATACCGTGGTACCAGAAGTGTGGTCATAGTGAAGAGAAGCATGTGAGAATGGCAGGACTTAAATGTGGACACTTCTTGCTGTATATCACTACTATGAATCAGTCTTTCAGTTCAGGGTTACAGCCAATACCGAGCAAAGATTTGTAACTGTTAATCCCTATTAAAAATATTGGAAGGAAACTTTTTTACAGTGGTCTCCCGAGTTGAAGGGGAGAGAAGAATGAGAGGGGAAGTTATACTTTTCTTTATTTCGCATACCTGCTGTATATACATTGATGCTGAAAAATAAGGAGGTGCAAATTCAGGAGGGGGAAGAATAGTCCTGTGGTTCATACCAGAAGAAAACCTCATGTGACATTTGAAAAACTTGAATAGGGTCTCCACTGCACAGAGACTTCAAAACTAACATTGTTAGTGATTTGGGTTTGTGTTACCTCCCTTCCTTTGAATGCACCTTTTTTTTTTTTTTTAAATCAGGACCATAGCTCCCCCTATCTTTGTTAATTACTCTTACACGGTTCCCAGTTCTCATAAATTACCTGTGTAAATTTCAGACTAACTAGAATTATTTTCTTCGTAGTAGTAGTTGGTCTTGCTTTATGATACCACTCACTTAATGTATTTGGTTTTGTTTTTCATCATGTGTGTGGTTAATGGTAATGGGATAAACACCTGTGGGGATTTCCTGAGTAAGATGATGTCATTTGTTTACATAATACACTGCATTTTCCATCTTCCTTATTATACCAATGTGTTTAATATTAAATTATTCCAGTGGAAAGAAGCAAAACCGGAAGAACTTATGGATTCGAAACTTAGATGTGTGTTTGAGCTACCAGCAGAAAATGATAAGCCTGTGAGTATTTTCAGATGCATATTGAGTGTTTTAACTTAATACCCCAGTAAATCATGTAAAATGGCATGTTTATACAGACAGCTATATAAGCAAAAGACAGAACCCTCTGTTTCACTGCCTGGATGGCATCACCCTTTGAAAACACAATATAAACTATTTAAAATCTTAGTGATGCTTAATGTAACTAACAGCTAATTTGAACAATGTAAGTGCAACACAACTACAAAGAAATCTTTGAGTTGATCTGTTTTCATTTAGTGAAAGATTACAGGATAAAGAATATTTTTTAAAAAAATTTGAAAAATGCTGATTGATGGTCATAAAACTCAGAGTTTTATACTGAAGCAGTTATAACCGTCGACAGTATAAATTTGCCTGTCCAACACTCCCCTTAGCTTATTTGATATAACACTGATTTTAGCAAGTAAATTGGTAGAAAGCTAGTAAGAAGGACACAAATGCAGTTAGGGATTATATTGCAATTAGCAGCTATAACATTGTGGGATCCTTTTTTGTTAGGGTAATGAACACATTAATTTCAATGGCAGTATGTAGTGTCAAATGTAGAACTGATAATGGATTGATTAAACTGAAAAATGTTTCCTAGTATGCAGGTATTGAAGGCACAGTTGTTCTTCATTGCACTGGACAGCTTGTGATTAATGATTATGTATTGTTATAATGTCACTATTGTAGTCTCACTGTGTCTGCTCTGCCTGCTCCAGGCAGTGAACATTTGCTCTAAAAGTGGGTGCTTTTGTTTTAGGCCAGGGTACCTCCTGTGTTTCCAGTTTAGAGATGTGATGAGAGGAAGGAAAAAATCTGAATTAAATGAAACTCAACAGCTATTCTGTTTAGTTGTAACTTTTTCTGTAACCCCTAAAATTCATTAGGGCAAAACACAGCACAAATAGTAACAAGATCCTATTACTTTATAGGTATAAATAGAAGTCTTCATGTTAAGACTTTGTTGGCAGTTTGGGTGGGGAAGAGAGTGGTTTATTTTTTATGAGAGCCAGGCCCTTTGCATTCTAAAGTGACAACATGAAGAGGATCCAGAGGCAGGAAAGGGAGGAGGCTTTGAGATCTGCAATTTGTTTCCTAACTTGGATTGCAAGTTCCTCCATCACCACATAAACGCAGAAAGATGGAGAGGTGATAGCAGCAGCAGTGGGAACTGCAGCAGAGCAGGTGGGTAGTTGCTAGCAGTACCCTGGTTCCTGGAGTAGCTGCTTGTGTTGTGCTTGCAGAGGGAAAGCTGAGGAGAGCACTAATACTCCATGAGCAGACTGAGTAAGTTAAGTTCCCATTCATACTGTGGGACATGGCCTAAGGATATTTTCTTTTCTATATATGAAGGGACTGAAAAGTCAAGGTCGTTCTGTCTGCACTTAACTGCTGCTGATCTGCTGTTTTCTGTGAAACAGGGAAATTAAAGGTGAAAGAAAAATGTTGTTTATTTCTTTCGATACAGGCATGTTTCAGGTGTGCACAGACAATTTTACCTGCTTCTCCTCCTAAATATCAGGTGTGTGGTGTGGTGTTAATAACTAACCAAAAGTCACTCTATCCTTTTTTAACAGCATGACATAGAAATAAATAAAATTGTATCCACAACTGCAACAAAGACAGATTCCTCTGTAATGTCTAAATCAATAAGTTCTTCTTTGGATGACACTGAAGTTAAGAAAGTAATGGAAGACTATAAGAGGCTTCAAGTAGAAGTTCAGAGGTTACGGGAGGAGAATAAACAGTTTAAGGTAAAGATACTTTTTTTTTTTTTAATCCGGATTTACCCTTTCCTGAAAAGAAACTTCCAACTTAAAGGTTTTGTTACCTGACCTTGGCACAACATTTTGTCTATAAATTGAAATATATTCAGATTTCTCTCTATAAAGTGATAAAAAGTCTTGAAATCAATGATTCCTTTGAAAGGAGCATACAAGTTGTGCAGTCAGAGGAACTTGATTGGATAGCAACCCAAAGTAATGAATTCCCTCTCTTTTTTTTTTTTTCTTTTTTTTTTTTTTCCCCACCTAATTTTCTGAGTCTGAATTAAGCATTCAGTGTTGGATTTGGCCCTGTTCTCTCAAACTGATGGGAGCATGAGGGCAGTGTTGTGCAAATACTGAGTGTTTTAGTAATTGCACCTATAATATGCAGTTGAAATGACCAAGGATAGATAAATTAATAGGAAATATGCTTCCTGTCATATCCAGCACATCAGTGTGAAATTAAGTAATTGAGAAGCCTTTATCACCATGCTGAAAAACTCTTTTTGCAGTAGTTCCATTTGTTGTATATGTCTAGTTTCACAGATAACACAACCAATGAAAATTTGGAACTTGTGACTGTTGGAGCCCAATGAAAGGAACTCTGTTCTGTCAGCTCTGATGCTGCTCGGCTGACTGCATGCAGAAATTCTTTAAACATTTGTAAACCAGTTTTGTTTTGCACATAGAAATAATATATGTATGTACCTGAGACCCAAACTTCTTGTATTCTTGTTTTGCCATTGTCTCACAATACTATTAGTGCTATGTGATTTTTATTTTACTTTTTTGCGAGTCAGTCTCAAATAAACACTCTACAGGAGATACCTGGAATTGAGCTGATGCCTCACAGTAACATCTTAAAATGGTGAACTGCTTGTTCCTGTTGTGGAGTGTTAGAAACATTTGTAAAGCATCAATGTTAAATTACCGCCAGCCACCAGGTGCTGTCAGTGTCAGGCTAGAGTCACTGTCAAAAGTGTCTCAAAAATATTTTAAACAAAAATGTGTTATTTCTAGCAGTAAAATTACTATTAGATAAACATTGCTTTATTACTTTATGGAAGTCAGTTGTCCCCATCCAGATTTACAGAAGTGGGGAGGTATCAGGTTGTCTGACTTTTAATAATTTTATTTTTTTTTTTTTTTTAATTTGTTTTCCTCCAGAATGTTAGGATGCCTCTTTAAATTTAGAAGTGAGACACTGACATACCCCAAGTCTTTTGAATTTCACTTATCTGACAATTTTTAAGACTGTGGTAATTTTTATTTCTTATATTTTAATATAATATCTTTTATATCTTTTAATATAATATCTTTTTATATTTATCTTTATATTTTAAACTTTATTTCTTATTTTTTTATGTATAGGCTCAAGGCTTTTGCTTCAGTATCTTAGAGTTTTGCACTGTAATACTCTATTACATAAAAAATTCTAACACTTTTGTTTCAGCTGTGTACAAGTTAGGTCACAAAAGGCTTGTTTTACCACCTCCTAATGTGCTCTGTGTGTGTGTGGATGGAGTGTGCTAACACACAGCTGTGTTGCACAACAGTTTAGATCCAGAGGTGGGGAACGTTGTCTCCACTTGATAATATCTGGTGTTTATGATGTTTTATCTGTTGTCTGATACATCTTTAAATCAAGAGAGCTGTCAAACTTATACCAAGAAAATACCCTAACTATTGCCATTAGTTTCATGTCAAAATGTCAGCATTAATATGGTGGGGGAAATAGATTTCCCTTCAAATGCTGGTAAAATGTGCTTGTGACATCTAACTAGGGGAATGATGAGTATAATTGCCTTCAAGTTGCATGTTTTTCACAACCTCTCTTAGTTATATTGAAAAGCATTTTCCCCAACAGCACTATATTTGCTTATAGAATAAGAAAAGCATCTTCATGCTGTTCCCTCCATCATTGTTTCTCAAGGTCTGGAGCTGTCTCCAGACCTTGGACAAGTGTTCTTGCAGGCTTTCTCATTGCTTCCCCTGTTACCTTAGTCAGCAGGAGAAAACTTCCAAGAGCATGGGGTTTTTGCTCTGCTAGGAATAGAGAATTCCTCTCCTACCTCACTACCCTTTCCTTCTCAGGATTATCTAGGAAATAGAGCTCTAAACTAGCTGTAAATTAGCTTTCACCTATATTATGCCCACCTAAAATAAATATGATAAGGGTGAACATTTAAAGCTTTTTTTTTTTGGTAGAAATTATCAATATATCTTCCTTTAGGAAGAAGATGGACTGCGGATGAGGAAGGCACCCCAGACAAACAACCCAATATCTGCTTCTGCAGCTGCTGTCAAGGACGAAGGGCTCAGCTCCAGACTACTTGCTTTGGTGGTTTTGTTCTTTGTCTTTGGTGTAATTATAGGAAAAATAGCCTTGTAGAGGCAGCATGCTGGAAATTGTAAATTGGTTTGATGGTTCTGCCATATCATTGGATTAAATTTATTCATAACAATGTTTAAAAACAAAAAAATTAATGTATGACATCTCACAGGTCTTGCCTTTAAATTACCCCTGCACAAATACTATGTAACATAATCTAGAAAGTTTAAAATGTACAATGGGTGAATGAATGAAAGAGAATATGCTTCAGTGATGAAGGGAGGGGAGAAAATAATGATTCAACACTACAATGGAATATTGTATATGTCATTTTAAACATTCTTAGACCCTGGTACATGTTGCTGGATTACCTCTTTTTAAAAAATAAAAATAAAAAAAAAGGAAAAATAGAAAAAAACCTATTCCTCCACTGCTGGAGCTGGCCCTATTGAATGTTTGGAGCTGGGTTAGGCAGGAGGTGTTGATAACCTGTAAAATACGTTAATCCACCATTCTGCTCATAAATTTAACAGTTTCTGTCAGTGTCTTCAATTCTGTGCAAGTTATCAATTTCTTGGCACTTAAATGAATAGTGAGAAGCTGAAAAGAATTTTATGTGGCAATGCTGAATGTGCTAAGCATCATTAAGAGGCATATATTGACTGGTATGACGCTCATTTGGAATAAAGGTCAATGCCTTGTTCTCATAAAGGGACCAAGCTACATTGCTGTTGGTTCATTTAGTTGAATTAAAATGTTATTCAGAGATGTTTAATGCATATTTAACTTATTTAATGTATTTCATCTCATGTTTCCTTATTGTCACAAAATTGACTAATACTATATGGTATGAAAAGGCACCTGTTTAAAGCCAGAGATTAGAACTAAAAATTTGCTGCTGTAGTGATGCAAGATTCTTCTGCCTCCTGGTGTTTTGGGCACTACACAATTGTTGGGAGTTTTGATCATCTGAGCATTGGAGAAACAGTGGTCAGGAAACTGTTTTTGTATGTAAATAAGTCTATCTAGGGGAAAAAATATTAGTAGTAAACTAGTCCTATGCCGTAAAAGACCAATCCTGTTTGACTATGTAGCATCTTAAAAAGAAAAAAGAAAAAAAAAAAAAAAAGAAAAATTAAATAAAGCCCCCAAATTGATGTTTCCTTTGTTACTTTTGTCATGTTCTCAGTTTTAGAGGGGGGAGGAAACAGGGTTCTCTGTCAACTTTGTTTGTGGCATAAGGAAACTTGCAGCCTTGTTTCAGGATGATTTTTATTTTTTTTTTTCCCAGCCTAATTTTAAAATCAGTCCAAACAACCCCATCATGAGCCTGATATACATAAGTGTTGTTGAGAGTAACCATGCTGATTGCTGAGGTACAAGGTAACTTCCTATTTTTCAGTTTAGTTGGATTCAGTAGTTAAGATGCTTGATAGCATGTTGAAAGTAAGGCTAAGGTAATTTTGTTTCTAAGCATACTTCTAGTACAAAATACATAAACTCAATATGTTTTAACATGTTGAACTTCAGTAGATTAAATAGCTTTTGAGCAGGTAAATTCCTGTATATTCTTAGATGGTAGGTCCAAAAACCATTGGTGACAAAAGTTTTTGTAACACGTTTCAGGATTAAGATACCTATTTTAAGTGACTTCTTTCATTCCTTTATTATTCCTGTGATTTCTTGAGAAAGCTGTTTGGGCTGCAGCCTGTCTGCTACACTCGTTGACCTTTATATTTGTTCCACTTGTGTCTCAAGGGTTTCCTGCTTTGCAAGTGCAAATAAGTGGAAATTTTATGTGCGGTTTAATAAGAAAATTGGAGGAAAAAAATCTTAACTGGTGTGTTCAGCTTATGAACACTGGATGTACCTCCTAAAGATTCAACAAATGAGAGATGTATCTTTAGCATTTTAAAATGCTAGTGCCTTGTCTGCTCAGGGTGGAAGTGACAAAGCTATTAAAGTATGCCTGCAAAGGGCACAGAAATGGGAGATGAGCTGGAAAGAATGAAGCAGTGAGCTCAGTGTGACAAATTGGGCAGAGTTGATCAAGAAAAAAGTACTTTACAGGCAGTAGAAGCTAATGAAAACTTTTACATTAAACTTTAAACTTTTACATTAAATTTTAAAAGAACCTTTTCAGAAAAAGATTGTGAGTGGTGTTGCAAAGTTAGTTTTCATGACTTTGAAGAATATATTTGCGAAAACCTTTACTGAAGGGAGACAGAGCTATGCAGTAATTTTTTTAAGAGGTTTTTTTTTTTTTTTTTTTGAGAGCCCTTTGTTCTGATGAAAAACAGCCTCAAAAAAGTTGGGTTTAAAAAAAAAAAAAATCACTGTCTTTGCAGGGTAAAGGGGGAGGATTGAAGCTTTAAACTGGTCTGTTGTCAGTGTATCTGTAATAATGTTCCAGGCACATTTTACACACACTGTTAGCTACCGCAGTTGACTTTGCTGGCACAGGCAGCTCCCAGATGAAGGGAAAGGCTGGCAGAATGTCTGTCCTCCTTCCAGTGTTCAGTAGTCACTTCTTAGTGATCTGTGACAACATGGAACTTTAAATCATTTGTGAGCAAAGTTGTTCCTGTTGTTTGCACCCCAGGATTATAAAGAGGTCCCAGAAAACACTCTCATGCTTTGCTAAATGCCTTACAAACACGTGATCGAGGAGACCAACAGAGGACCTTGGTTAAGGATCTGTTGGTAACAAGTGTAGCCTGCAGTTGGGGCTGACCCACACCATCAGTCCTAAAAGAGACTGTTAGATTAACTGCTTATATTTTGGAAGTTAACAAAATTGTGAGGTCTTTCCTAACCATTTCTGACAACAACCTGAACAGACAGTAGCACTGAATTGTCTGGGTAATGCTTTTGCTGAGCTTAAAGTAAAATGACTGATCAGTTGGAATCCTTATTACCTGTTCATTTGACCGGACCCTTCTTTCATATGCAGTAGAAAGAAATCTTAAGGATGTTTTTTCTTCCAAGGTTCATAAAAGGCCAGTCTGTAGATACATTGCAAAATTATATTGGATGGATGTTCTTAAGGCACCTGGATCTTTTATAAGTTGTTTCTTACATGATGACACCAGAGCAAATGTTTTCATGAAGTATTCATAGAAAGCTAATTATTCTGGAGGGCATTGTATATCTTAGGTAGTTATGCATGAAACATAGAGTTTCTAAATAAGATTATTGTCTGGTGTCCTCACTAACACCAGATATTAGAAAACTGTAATTGATACATGATAGTAGAAATCAAGTTATTACTTAATCTAATTATTGTCCGTACTGTTATTTTAAGATGCCCACTTGCATATACATTTATTGTTAATTTTTGTAAGAGCCAGTAGAGGCTGCTTAGGTAGTCTTCATTTTGTGCAGCTTTACACTCCTGTCTGCACTCTTTGAGCAAATTTGGCATAAATAGATGTTAAAATGCCTTGAAGCCTAGTACTGGGAAATGAATGGAAAGTGGTTTCTACTATTTCCATGTAGTTATCCACATCTTAAAGCAAATATTCCATGCATGAATGATCATAACTATTGCTCTGCACTGGCAGTTGTCAGCTGTGAATGTGCAACTGGAACAATTGCATATGCAAGCCAGGCACCCAGTTTCAAGTTCCTGTTGAATAGCCTTAGGGATTGAAGAGCAAGATAATACCATGTGTGTCATGTTGAGAGGGATTGATGTACCATAATGTAATTTTCTAAAAATACAGGATTGTAATAGCTTGATGGTGGTATTCCATGCTATGATTTTTGTCCTGAAATGCTGTTAGTGGGATAAAGTTGGAACCTCACTTTGCAAATCACTAGTTTCTTCTCACCAATAAACTATAAAGGGTTTCTATTAGCTGCACATGGAAACTTGCAATTCTTACTATAATCTTGACTTAGCAGTCAGTATATTTATGTAGTGGCGTGCACACAAAAATGGATTGTTAACGTCTTAAGATAATTAATGTTGCAGCTGCCTAAAGGAAAGAAAACTGTCATCCCTTTTCTTAGAAATGTGTATGACACTTTCATCTCTTAATTGGAACAATTCTGTAATTATCGGGCACAGTAGTGACTAAGTGTAGTAGTATTAAGTTTTTGAAACTATACTTCTCTTGTTCTACGTGATGTCCTGAAATGCCATATCCTGCGTTCTGTTTTCTATATAAAATAACTGAGAGAAAAACACAACCAAAAATCCCTCTGTTTGAAATTAAAGAACATGTAAAACAAGCACTCTGAACTTCGTGTTTGCTGTGGCTGTGTTACAGCTGCAATAGTACTTCACAGCAGCACTAGAGCAGCTTGGGGTTGGAGAGCCCCTTTTCCAGTGTTTGGAGATGGGTTAGCATCCATTACTCAAATCCTCAAGTGAGCAAATTGAGAAGGGACAGGTGGTAAGTGAATTTCCATGTACATATTTGAGATTTTTTCTTTTTGTCAGAATCACTAATATAACAAAAATAAAATAATCTGTACAGGAGTGAGACTGGTTCAGTACTGTATGTGGCAGTTACTATTCTTTGTAATTGGATACATGTCAACAAATTTAATTTACTAATTAGGAAATACGTGCATAAACCAATGTTCAGGCATTTTAGAAAGAAGAGCAACTACTGAGCAAGGCTGCTTGCTCATGTGAAACCTAGCAGTTCTCTAGCTGCACTTCATTAGAGGCTGACAATGGGACACAATGCTAGTATAAATCATCAGTTACAGTTAGATAAATCGTGGGATTTATTGTTCAAGCAGGGCAATGCTGGTCCTTTGACCATGTCCAATTAAGATTTCTTTATATTATGCTGACAGCTTCATGTATCCTGAATCACTTTGTCTAATGGGTGTCAGTGCAAAAGTGACATTACTCATTGTGCTGTAACTATTATTTTGATTAGCTTCAGAGGACAAAGTGATTGCGCATTTCCACTACTCAAATCTGCTTAACTATAAAATTTGTTTGTTTTATTAATGGGTTGATTTTTTTTTTACTGGATAAATGTAGATTACTTTTTAAAATAACACAAGTAAGAGCCAGCCAGAAGTCTCTTCAATGTAATATTTTAATAAGCATGCACTTGCACACTTGTAGAATGACTGTATACCTGTCATTTACTCTGTCATTTCCTGTGGCTTCGTTTCCTTCCATAGAACTGCTTTCATATTTGTACTTTGAAGAGTAAAACTTCAGAAAACTTTACTAAACTTCCATGTAGATCTTTTTGCCTCCCAGTCCAGGCCTAAGTTTGTCCTGAAGCTTTTGTGTTGTGAAAACTACAGAAAGGAACATAGAGTCTACGAGGATGGAAACAAGGCTGCTTTTCCGTGAAGCAAACTTGAACTTTGGATCTTTCCTCTTATGATCTGTCATTATAAAATGGCCTTTTCCAGATGGTAAAACAAAAGAAGTTAAGAAAACAAATGAATTAAGAAGAATTAATTGAAACAGTGTATTACAAGTTGACATTATACATCTGGCATTTCTGTTTATGTTTCTGCATCAGTACATTTTATTATTTAATAAGTTCCTAATTTCTTGATTTTTTTTTTTAAGATTTTGAAGTGCCTATGAAGAACTGAAGAACAGCCTGTAGTAAAGTATTGTTCCCAGTTTAGCTGTACTTCATTTTTTTAACCAAATCTTTTTTTTTCAGTGGATAAACTCACAAGATTAGAAAAGCCTCTTGAACTCCTTCATGTTTGAGTTGGCAAAATTCCCACGCACAATTATGCACACAAAACTACTTTTAAAAGACCTTTATTAGGGCTGTACAAAGTCAAGCACTCAGAAGTTAGGAAATGGCAAAACCAAGTTTGTGCACTTAGTTTGGCCACTTTGTGAGTATGTTGCAGTATCTGATCAAGCCTTCACTACTGGGTCAAAGTGAGCAAAGGCTGCCCAGAAGTTGTCTAAAACTGCCCATCTTTGTGTGCCTGACCTTACAGAATCTTAATATAATTAGATTTTTAGAAGTTGAACTTTAAAAATGGCCTCATGGTGTTGTGTGTGTCAGGACTGAATTCTTTAGGTTCTGTATGTGGACGCCCGTTCTTGACCTAAGCAGGCGATGTGGGGAGTAACTGAGCTGAAGCAGCAATTTTTGTTTTCACATTTCACTGGGAGGCCACACAGAAGTGTGATTGGAGCCAGGAATTTTTGCTTCAGTTATGAGCCCGAAAGAGCATTTCTGTGGAGGCTGCGGACTCTCCTGCCCAGTTTCTTTTCTGATCTATTCTGCCTGAGCTGTCAAATCTCGCTCCCTTCCCTCCCCCAGCCCTTTGGTTCCATCCAAGTCATCCTTGTTCTTTCACTGCTCCTTGGCAGAGAAACCGATGTTCAGCCGAGCGTCTTTAAATGGCTTTTTTTCTCTGCTGCCTATTTTCTGTGTCAGTCCCTTTCTCCTCATCGCCCTTCCAGTCTTGCTCTGCCCCCGACTGCCTGTCCTGGACCTCAGGCCACAGGAGCTGCCTGGCAGAGCCCTCCCCGACACGGATGTCTGCTCTGGGCCCAGGTGCCTTTTCCCATGCTAGATAACACTCACTCTTCTGCTTGCTCTTTGATCAAATTTGTTCCTCCTTTCTCTTAGCTCTGTGTAGAGTTTGGAGCAATGAGTCTTGTCAGCCATCTCCTTTCTGTCTCCAGCTTTTCTCTGCTGTTTCAATGCAGCATACTTACCATAAATGACAGGCATTTGTATATTCAGTGTGGATTGTTTAGCAAATGAAGCACTAGCTCAATGCTGTTAATATATTCAGGTGTTTTAAAACATTTTTATGTGTTTTGTTTCAGTTTAAGAATTGTTTGGGAAATCTAGAATGCAAAATACATCCTAAGGTATTTTGAACAGGGGGACATAAAGATGGCTAACGGGCAAAATAAGTTAATTGAGCTGTAAAGAGGAGATCAGACCCATGACTATGTCTGGCAAACTCAGCTCATGCTTTAAATTTTTGTGCCTGCTAGAGAAGCAGAAAATTGCAAAGGCAACTTGTCTGAGTAGCTTATTCAAGAAGGTACAAAAGACTTCCATTCTCAGACTCCGTGTAGGAAGCTAGTATATATATTCAGAGTATTTGAAATTTATTTTATTTTTCTCTGGTTTTGGGAGTGGTTAAAAAATTATTAAACTTTTGGGAAGTATTATATAAGAAGTGAATGGGGATGAGTTCACCAAAACACATGTGCCTGTTACTATTGACTTTCAGCTGGTACTGAGCTGTCAGTGCACGCTCACTTGGTTTTTCTTCATAGGCACAATACAAAGATACATATTTATTTTACAGTTGAAAGGAACCCGGTAGTCAGGACTAATGTTCATTGTCTGTATCCTAGACCTGTTTTTCTAATGCAGTGTTAGACATGAAACTTGAAGTTACTTGGTCTTGTCTTGCTTATGTCAGATGAAGATAAATGAATTGCAGAACTAGAAGTTGGAATCCTGATTACATTGGAGCTAGGCATACAGCTACGCAGACTGCTAATAAATGTAATTGGTGCTTCAAAAGGGCATAGCTGAGCAAATTTCTTATCAAGTCTGGTAGTGAAGAAGAAATTAGATGGAAAACTGAATTAGAATTGGCAGTTTTCTAAGTGAAAGGTATTAAATGGCCAAAACCCCAATAATTTTGCAGTCGAGAAGGGAGACAACTTTGGCTGACCGCCCATCCTGTTTCAGTGATGAAATGAAGGGGAAAATTAGATGTAAAGTAATATAAAACAAATAAGAAAGGGGGAAGCAGACAGCAATCAACTCAAAATGAGAGTTACGAAGTGTAGAAAATTAATAAGGAAAGCAGTAGCCAAAGGAGAAGAAAAATACATGGGTGGGAGTGCATAAGAAAGCAATAGCCAAAGGAAAAGAAAAATACATGGGTGGGAGTGCTTGGAGAGGGTGATAAAGAGCAGAAGTTCGGAGTAAATCCATGGTAGGATAAGGGCCGTTGCTAGATGCAGGTGGTAAAACTGCTAGTGATGATGGAAGAGAACTGGAAAGGTGATTTCATTCACTAGCAGTTCTTAATATTAAAAATTAACATTTCTAAATTCAGTAGGTCTAGAAACCTCGTGTCAGTATTTCTAAGGGAGCTGCCTGGGGCAGTCTCTGACCTGATGAGAGGATGGCAAAGGGGGCCGAGCTATCTGCCACCCCCAGGGAAGGGATGCAAAAGGCGATGAGTGTGAATGCAGGAGCGTAATGTAAGTCATTTTGTTCTTTTTCAGTTTTCTTTGAGTGAACTGAGTCCATCTGGGCCCCTGCAAAGCTTGGTGTTTTCTGACAATCACACCTTTCAGAAGTGGTTGTTCAAAGAGAACCTAATGAAATGGGGGGAGGCTCAGAGAAGGGTCCTGCTGGGACCCAAGAGATTCAGTGGTTCATAATCACTGCTGAAAATAGATCCAGAATCATTACTGATAAAATGTTAACATGACAAAAATACCCATACCCAGAACCAGAGTGAGTAACAGCTCCACATGTTCCCAGTGCAGTCCCAGGGTGAAAGTAATGAATGTGTTCTTGTTTTTAATTACCGTTAGCAGTAAGTGATTATACTTCTGTATGTCTCAGCTGTGAGAGTTGGGAATTTTGGATGCAATTTGGATATTTACATTTTAAAAGAGAAGCTGAGTAATTGGAATGGATGCAAAAAAAGATTCAAAAATTACTGGTGGAATGTGAAAATGCCTTAGAGAGGGTGAGAGAGAGAACTCGGTTGGCTGAGTTTATCTACCAAAATTGAGAATGTCTTGATTACAGTGCACAAGTACCTTCATGGGGAGAAAATACTGAACACTGCAGCTCTCTGATCTTAAAAAGAGCAACACAAGAATCACTGACTGGCAGTCAAAGCCAGGCAAATTCGAATTGGAAAAAGGCACAAATTCTTAAGGGATAATAACTTGTGTAATTTAGGAATGTTTCTCCAAAAACTGTGAACAGAACAATAAAAGTTATGATATTTATGCAAATAGCTTTTTCCATGACTTTTTTTTTTTCTTTCAGAAGTATACTTAAAGGGGGTTAAGGGGAGCACAGAGGCTCCTGGTGAGGCTTTCAGCCGGCACAGCCCACCCCTCATGCGGAGCCGTGGAGCTGTGTCAGCCTCCGGAGCTGCTGCCGGAGGAGGTGGGAGCCTTCTCGAGTGCTTGTTGCATACGTTGTGGAAGTACGTGGTGGTGTCTTGTTAACTTGTTACATCATGTTAGTCCCATCACCACCTTGAAAGGATCTGTGGTCGTTTGAGTTTTCGCACCATGCAATAGCTGAGTACTTGCTAAGTTTAATGTATTTCCATACTGTGTAAATGAAAACAAAAAAGTATCCGCACACAAATCTCATTCTTGGGGGTAAATGTAGGGTGGGAATTGCCTTCCCTCTCCTCCACTCGCCCAGAGACAGCACAAGGCTGTTCCCTGTTCTTGCCACGGACATCTCTGGGTCCTGCAGGAATGTGCAGCTCTGCTGCTTTGAGCCACAGGAACCTTCCTCCCTGCTGCTCTGCGTGGCGGCTCTAGCATGGTGCTGGGGAACTGCTCTGCTGAAGAAAACGTTCTGCTACCTGTATGAGGTGCAGCTCTGCCACCCCGGACCTGCCCTGATCCACAGCACCTCAGCTGGGACATCCCAGAGGAGATGCCGCGTTCTCCAAGATGCGCTTCCCGTTCCTCAAAACATTTGCCTGTGGATCTACAGGCAGTAGCAGGCAACAAAACACAACCACCCTTAGAAACCAGGAGGTATTTTGCCTGCTGAACTAACCCCTGGAGAATTTTCCTTCTCCACTGATGGCAGAGGGAACTGGAGGTGATGAAGCCGCGCTTGGCATTTTGTGTATCATTTTAAAAGTGTGACTGTTCATGTGCGTGATAACATTTAATCACACCTGGAACATGCAAGCATGCTGACAACGTTTATGTCACAACTGTATGCATTTAATAAGCATCTCATTTGAATTATCAGTTAATGTACAGATCCCCCAGAAGTATTTTTGTTATAAAACCCATAATTTAGCTAAGTACAAGCTGCAAGTTTGTAAATACAGCATTAAGATGGTAGCTATTGCATAGCTGGTTTAACAAGTTTCTTTTGTGAGTAAGATATATAGGCTTATTTGGAGAGGATTTAGCTACTGTGAGGACGGCTTCTCCAAGTGACTTAAATGCTTCTTAGCTGCAGCAGACAGGGAATATAATTTCTTAGTTTGTCCTTCGTGTCAGTAGAAATCAGTTTGACCTGTGCTGTCTGATTCGAGTATCTCCTCAGCCCATTGTTCACTAGAGGCAGATTTATAAAACATCTTTACAGGAATGAATCTGGAAGTTACATTTTCATTGAAAGGAGAGCTGGATTAACAACTGGTGTGCCAGGACACTTAGTGAAAAGGAGACAGTGAAAATCCATGCCTAAGAAGACTTGTGATATTTTGCTTCGCTCAGTGCAGGGCGCATGGGGGTGGCAACTGCCTGGCAGTGCCTGTGGCTGCTGGACGAGGCGGGCAGCGACCCGGGGCCACGGCTGACACGTACCGGAGCGCAGGCCAGTATTGCACTGGGAAAGCCAGAATGATGCAGCCAGGGTGGTGTCTGCAGGTGGGGAATGCTGAAGGTTGGAGTGGTTGTGCACGGAGCATTTTCCATTTGCTGTATCTTCGTTTATGACCAGGGTCAGGTATAACAGTCTGTCGAGGTAACTCTCTGTGAGGGCTGCTTTTTGTACGTACCTAAGTGGAAGATTGTATGTTGCATCTTTGTGTGCGTACATACACACAAAAACTGCAGAAAATGTCTGTAAACTGAGAAAGGCATGATTAACTCTGCCCTTATCAAGAACACTTGCTGACTGTTTATTGCTGCCTGACTCTGCAGATTAAATTTGCAAGAACAGCAATAAGGAGTATGATGGGAGGGAGCTTAACCTCAAAGAAACTCAGCAGCTGACACTTCGGATGTTTGAATTACATCTGAATCGAGCTCTTGATTAAATCTTAGCAATGTCAAAAGCTCAAAGCAGCAACTGTAATTGATGTTGCTCTTTCTCCCCCCCCCATATTGCTAAATTATCTATTGCAATGTGCAGCGCATCCATGTCACTACATTAAATTTGTACGCAAAGAGGGGAGATTAGGCAATAAAGCCACAGACAAACAGTATGTAGCCAGGCGTATCTTCTTGTCTTAGTTTGCTGTTGCTGGGTGTTTTTAAAAAGTGTTTCCAAATCTGAGTAAAACTGATTCCAGATGTGCTCATTTGAAGGATATAAAAATCACACTAGCACCAAGACTGTCTGAATTCTGTGCTGTACCTGAATAGATAACTAGTCCCATCTTAAAAACAGAAGTGCTATAAACAATAAAAAGGCCACAGGCAAAGGTTTTAGTGCTTCATTCCCATTAGCATCCTTGCTTCCCAAGTATTTCAGACTAACATAGTTAGAAAATTCCTCCGACGCTCCAGCACACTGAATCAGAGGTGCCTGGTACGACGTGGGTCGCTTGTCCGGCCTGTCAGGGCTGGAGCCATCCGTGGGCCTCTCGCCGATGTAGAGCAGGCTGCGGTCCTTCATGTCTTGCTCCGTTTTGAACAATTCATACTCCGTGTGGGGCAGCCTGATGCCCAGAGCCAAACATCCATTTGTGGGTGTTATATCCTGCTCCACCCCAGCACTCCAGGAGCTGGTCAGCCCACAGCTTCCAGGTTCGGAGGAGTTCAGCATCATCACCGTCACCTGGTCCATCGGCATCACCCGAGCCTGGGTGACTTTAAAAGCCAGCTCGGTGCCACCTCTCACTTTGGAGGAGGGGATGCCTTGGGTGTAATGCCCGGATGCATAGATGGTGAAAGTTGGCTGCTTGCAGAGTGGGTCGGAGTAGTGGTAGTAATAACCTTCCCAGGTGTGGTTGTTACCATGGAATATGAAGTACCTGGTAAGGAAAAGCACCGCGGGCCGCACCTCGCAGTGGGTGCTCACCCAGCTGCCGCTGAGCTGCATCGGCAGCTGAGCCCTGACAGGCAGTATGGGGGGGTGGTGCTCATCAGCTCTGTATATAATCCCGCAGGCTGGGCAAGGATGCACATGGTGCTGCGGAAGACAAAAAATAACGTTTATGTAAACTGATAAGCAAAAAAAGCCTTTCAGAATATTTAAAAAGCTCAAACTCCCACGCCAGGGCATTCAACAGCAATGAACTTGGCCCAAGACACCCAAGCAGATTAAGTGAGATAAAGCACAGCCCTGGCTCTTTGCTATTCTGGTGCACTGGGAAGGACAGAGAGGTCTGTGCCCGGAGGCTGGGCTCTGCCCTGTGCCAGGGATGCTGAGGACAAGCTGCCGGCAGGAGGACAGGGCAAGGGCACAGCTGCTGTAAGGGCAGGGGACGCTCCCTCGGGCCATTCAGGTTGTTCCTTGCCAAGTTTTCCACTGCAAGCTGCTGCACACACCCATGGGTGAGGATGATGGGCACTGGGAGATGTCAGCTGGACCAGTTCAGAAGAAACAACACCTTCTTTCTGGCAATCGAAAAACCTGTACAACCTCTGTGGCTGTACTGCACCGCACCGATGCCCCTCCAGGACAGCCAAAAACACCTTCTGCTTGCCCCTTGCCCCCTCCCTACGGCAGCCGTACAGAGCCCGTGCCCACGGTCCCGCATCCACGGCTGCGTGTGCAGGTCGCCGTGGGGCAGGAGGGGAGCAGGCAGGGAGGGAGGCAGGGGTTTGCCAAGCAGCCAGAACGGACACCGCACCGCAGAGCGAGAAGGAAAGGACCTACTGCAAAACGAGGACCTGACCTTTGCTTCTCTGCCTGTGCTTCGTGCAGAGCTCTGAGTCAAACCAGTCCTGCAGCTGATCCAGTGCCAGGAGGGTTTTTTGTGTAGCTTGGAACTTTTTCTTATACTCCATATATCACAACTGATTTATTTTTAAATAACCAGGGTTTAAATGTTGTATCGTATTCTAGAACACGAGCTAATCTTTACTGAACTGTCGTATGCAACAAGGTTAAATAACTCAGTAGTTAACTGTAGGGTGGGTAATTTACATGCAAGTTGATTGGAGTCTACTGTAATTTAGTCATTTTCAGCTTGCTTTACTGCTACTGTCACGTTAATGAGTGCTGACAGTACACAGTACATTATGGCTAAATAATCCCAGAAGTTGGCAAATATATATGCTCTCCTTAGACAGGAAATTCTTTGATAATGAAAGGTAATTTGGGGAGAATGGGTTTCTTTAAAACAGATATAAACTTAAGGGAAAAAGAGTGGTATTTTCATAGAGGGTTAAAAAATAATTCCTAACATAACTGTAACTCACCAGCACAGGCAAATGGATGTTAGTTCAGGAAAAAAAAAAAAAGAAAAAAAAAAAGAAGAAAAATCCTGTGCCCAATAAAATTATCACTGTAGACATGGAGCCAAAATCTTACTTGCTTAAACCAGTCGTGTGAAGTTATTTCTAATGTATGGCAGCTTCTAATTATCGCCAAGTGGTGACATCATGTGCTGGTCCATTGGAGAGCTGTTAGCTGATTAATTACAGTGCTACATTCAGAGAGTGAATTTCAGTATCTTCAGGTTTGGTTTTAAATTAACTTTTAAAAGTGTTTATGTTTACCATCTGGTTTTGCTCATATATATGGTTTTGGCCCAAGATAACACAAGTTTAACCAATTTGAGAGTTACTTTCAAGGGGGAGAGGGGTGTTGCTCTGTGTTTTTCAGAGTTCAGTTGGTATTGTTTGGGGTGTGGAGAAATGTTGCCTCCCAAATAATTTTTTTCAGTTAATTCAGTTCTATCTGGTAAAGTTCAGAGCGTTTTTTTGACCCTATCTCACTGTTCAATCATTTCTGTTTCTCTTAGCTATGATTCTGATAAAAATGTGCTTTGCTGGAAACAAACTAACGTGCTGCAAAGTAAAATAAAATATAAAGCAACTAAATCTCCTGCTCAGTTTTATTTATGTCAAAATAGAAGTTTGATTTCTGTGTACTAACATAATTGTATTCAGGGCAACTTCCTCTTCTAATGGCATTACACCGAGGACTAATGATTTAATGGCAGATGTTGCTTCCTCACTCCTCGCTCAACCTGGAGAACACGACAAAGAGCGAAAGCGAGGGGAGGAAGACAAACGACAGAGCAGGCAGTCTCTAATGATGTGCAGCCTGATGCTTTCACTGCCTTTGGTGCAGGAAACTAGGAAAATGCATTTCCTAGGAAAACACAGAGCCAAAGAAAAGCCATTAACTCCAGGCCCAGGCCAACACAGGCTTGTTTCTGATGTTGGTTTTTTTGAGCTTTCACCCACCCTGGTCCCGCTCTCTCAGTAAGGGAGAGGGTGAACCCCACATACCATGGAGCAACCAGGCAGCACCCTGGGAACCCTGCAGCTCCTCATCCACATGTCCTTAGGACAGAAAGGGGCTAAGCGCAGGCAGGCGGTTATTTCACCAGGAAGGAAATAACAAACGCTTGGCAAAGCCCATGGACCGATGAGGGGACCGCGTAAAGGCATCGTCCTTACCACGGCACTCTGCATAGGTCGCTGATAACCGGTCGGTCGGTAGTGGAGCCTCTCCACCCACTCCGTGTGAATGTCCCCCAGGTACAGCTCCTCCACCAGCCGGCTCCCGCTCTGCTGCGCCTGCAGCAAGGGCTGGTAATGCTTCTCCACCCGCACCAGGCTGAGCTCGTGCATGGCAAAGCCCAGGGCGGCGGTGCAGTCGCGCTCGGTCTTGGCGCTCAGCAGTTCGTAGAGGGCTCCGGGAGCCCAGGTGCGGCCGGGGGGCAGGAACCCGCTGCAGCCCTCGCCCGAGGTCTGGTTGATCCAGGAGGCCACCTCCCGCATGGCTTTCTGGCTGTGGAAAACGATGCCCACTTTGTGGAGGTGGTAGTCGGCCTCGGTGGCCCCGCGGGTGATCCAGGAGGCCTGGCGCAGCCGGAGCTTGCCCTTGATGACCAGCGAGTAGGAGGGGTCGCGGCAGGAGGGGTCCCAGTAGTAGAACTGGTAAGCCTTGAAGAGGCGGTTGGCGTAGAAGAGGTAGGATCGGGTGAGGAACTCGGGTCCCGGCCGCACCTCGCACCTGGGGAGGAGGGCAGTCCTGAGCCACCCGCAGCGCCCGGCCAGGGGTGCGCGGGGTCAAATCCCTCCCCAGGGGCACCCGGGGTACGGGAGGAGAGGGGCGAGCACGGGCACGAGCAGCATCGTGGCCAACAGCCTCCCAGACCCGGTGGCCACCCTTGGGTGATTTTAAGATTTGGTCATCCACTGCCAAAATGTGACAGTGCGGGATAGAGGATCTCGGGGTTTGTGCCCCATCCCCAGGATGCAGAGGAGTGCCAGGGGCGGGGGGGGTCAGGGCCGATTTGGAGCCGGGTGTGCTCATCAGCTGCGCCCTAACGGGGGAGAGGCAAGGGGCTCTAAGGGCACCCAGGGGTGGGGGCCCTCAGGCCTCCCCCCAGC